AGGCCCCACGCCCCCCCTCAGGCCCCACGCCCGGCTCCCGCCGTCGCGCCCTCCCCGGGGGCTCACAGGGGGCGGATGAGCAGCTGATCGCTCTCCTCCGCCGGGATCAGGGCCTCGGCTTTCCGCTTGGCCGACATGGTGGGGGTGAGCCCCGGCGGCGACCGGCGCCGTCCCCCACAGCCCGCCTTCCGCTTCCGCCCCACCGCGCATGCGGAGCCACCCGGAAGCGGAAGCGAGCGGGCGGGCCGGGGGCTGCGGTGAGGTGAGGCGAGGTGAGGCGAGGGGTCGGCCGGCGGGCGGCGGGGAGAGGGGAGAGGGGTTTGTGGTCCGGGCGCAGGCCTTTCCCTGGGTGTGTGGGTCCCGGCAGCGGGCCCGGGAGGCAGGGGCTGAGGCGAAGCATCCCTGGGAGGCGAGGGAGGGGATGCAAAGCGGCGCTGGGCGCTGCCTGCCGCGGCAGGGGCCGCAGGCCTGCTGTCCCCCCCCCCCCTTCCCGGGCAGCCCGCCTCTCTGTGGGAAGCGGGCTTAGCGTTTTCTCCTTTATCGGGTTGTCGTTTGGGGCTAGAGGGGGAAAGACAGCGTGCGGTGCGGTGCTGCCCTGCCTGGCTGCGGGCTCTGCGGCGGGGAGAGGTGGGCAGGAGCCGGGCAGGGCTCGGTTTCCTGCGTCCCTGGTGGAAAAGGTGCACCGCAGAAAAGGCAGTGCGCTAAGCAAGGAGCTGCCGAGAGCTCCGTCATCCTCTAATGTATTAAAAAGAGCTTGTGACTCGGTATATGTTAAGTTGTGCTCTCCTCAGAGACAGCTGGCAGAGCCGGCAAATTTGCCTGTGTTGTAGCTGCTGCTGCTCTGAAAAAGGGGTGCCAGGTCCGTGCTGGTGGCTGGAAGGAGCCCCGAGGGACGTGGGTGTTCTGGGTGCCACCACGATGCCTCGCCGCACCCCTTGTCACTGAGGGTGGCTTTTGGCCTGCCAGGGACCAACCAAGTCTTTGCCTAATGGCACAGCAGCAGCCTGGGGCTGTAATCCAGCACTGCCTTGCTCACTAAAGCTCCTTCTTGTGTATCTCCCATCGTTTGCTGCAGAGTGAGCTGTCTTCAGTAGGCTGCCTTCTCCTTTGCCCTCTTTCTTCCACCTGCTCAAAATTTCTGAAGCTCTGTCCTTTAAATATTCTTCTCTGAAGCTGGGAAGGAGGGTTTCAGCATCCCCTGCCTGGAAGCCAGCATCCTGCAAGTGCTTCTTACTTAATTTTCAGGAACATGTTAAGTAGTACTGGCTGCTCCAAGAAGTATTCAATCAGTAGTTTTTAGAACTAGGGTTGTTTTGTGTTTTTTTTTTAATGGGAGCATAATCTTTGGAGCAGGGTTTGCATTGGATGCGCTTTTGTAGGGCACTTAGATTGTAGTTACAAATACAAATTATCTAATGCTTTTAAGTGGGAATAAAAATTTTAAATTTTGTCTTGTTTCTAAATCTATATCATTATATGCATTAGAAACTGACGTTTGCAGCAGTCTGTAACCTGGATAGAAGCAGGTTTTTTTATAAATCAGAATGATAAGGAAGTTGTAGCAGAGAGCTTAAGGACCTTTCCCCCAGTCACATACGAAGAGCAGCAAACGAACGTTACTACTTCCATTCTCGGAGTCACTACCTTACTGTTCTCCAGTTATTGTCCATTTTCTACACAGTCACTGTGGTGTTTGCTAGGAACTCCTTCCCTTGATGATATGACAGCTTCCATTTTCATTTTCCCTACCTAGGAGATCTTCCTTGATCCAATTATGAAAAAATGTTTAGAAAAGGAAAAAAGCGTCACAGCAGCAGCAGCTCACAAAGCAGTGAAATCAGTACTAAAAGCAAGGTAAGCTGAATTTGGTACATTCTCTGTTTATGGGAGCACTTTTGTTTATTACAAGTTGACAATTCAGTGGTTCCCTTGCACTGATGATAGGATGTAATTTTGTTCTGGTTTGAGGTAAAACGGAACTAATTTTCTGTTCAGTAATTTTATCTTTTTCAGCTGGGCCGCTTCAGACTAACTAAACTCTGAAATTAACAGCATATTGTTCAGAAACTGTTCACCCTCACAGTGATAAGACCTGGTTATACCAAGGAATGGTGTGCAGAGAGGCCCTTGCTTATACTTATTGCTATAGCAACCAAGGTCAGGTACATTTGTTATTTGCCCCATTGGAGGGTCGGAAGCGGAAAAGCGTAGAGGGATCACACCTGTAGGGAGGAGTGGACAGGAGAGGGGACCCCAAACTGACCAACAGGGTATTCCATCCCATCTGCCCCATGCTCAGTATAAAAGCTGAGGGATCAAAGGGTCAATTCTCTTCAATGGCCGATGTCTGAGGAGGTCCCTGTCTGTTCATCTGCCTTTGATCCCGATCCGAGTGTTCCTGACTCCAGATCTGGAATCCAGCTCCTGTCCATCACCGAGTCCAGCCTGGGACTTTCCCCTGTGCCCTCTGGTGACGTGATCTTCATCCTGGGAGCTTGATGGTTTTGTATGTACTGTATACTCTTTTTTTTCTTTTCGTATTATTATTATTTCATTATTTATTAATATTTTCACTAGTTTAGTTTTTCTCTAAACTCATAAATCTCTTCCTCTCCTCTCTTTTCCTCAGAGGGGGGAGGGAGGGGTCAGTCTGTCGTTCTGATTTGATCAATCCGGTCAAACCCAGGACAGCTGTATGGGCGCCCCGTGATGAAGAGCCCCGTGCTGTGCCGGGGGTGCCAGCCGGGCGTGGTGGCGCACGCCTGTAGTGCCAGTGCGTGGGGAGGCTGAGTCCCATGGATCGCTGGGGCCCCGGGTTGGCGACTGCGTGGCGGGCACCCACGCTAGGGCCGGCAGCACGGCCCCTGGGGCTCCCCGGGGCGGCTTGAGGGGTGTCATGCACAGATTACCCCCGATGCAGTCTGTGCCTTACGCCCCATCTGCAGTGGGAGCGGGTGGCAGCTCCTGTGCCTGGGACCACAGCCGCCTCCCTGTGGCGCCTGTAGAGCAGCCGGGGCCACCCGGCCACACGCGGGCTCCTCTTTTCCCAGAAATCTGCCCTGGGTTTGACCGGATTGACCGATCAGAACGAGAGATGACCCCCCTCCTCCCCCCCTCTAAGGCAAAGAGAGGAGAGGAAGAGATTTATGAGTTTAGAAAAAAACTGAGCTACTTTAATGAAAATATAAATAAATAATGAAATAATAAATAATAATAACAAAAAGAAAAAAAAAATAGTATACAGTACATACAAAACCGTATCAAGCTCCCAGGATGAAGATCACGTCGCCAGAGGGCACAGGGGAAAGTCCCAGGCTGGACTCGGTGATGGACAGGAGCTCAATTCTGGATCTGGAGTCAGGAACGCTCGTATCGGGATCAAAGGCAGATGAACAGACAGGGTCCTCCTCAGACATCGGCCATTGAAGAGAGCTGACCCTTTGATCCCTCAGCTTTTATACTGAGCATGGGGCAGATGGGATGGAATACCCTGTTGGTCAGTTTGGGGTCCCCTCTCCTGTCCACTCCTCCCTACAGGTGTGATCCCTCTACGCTTTTCCGCTTCCGACCCTCCAATGGGGCAAATAACAAATGTACCTGACCTTGGTTGCTATAGCAATAAGTATAAGTAAGAACTTCTCTGCCCACCATTCCTTGGTATAACCAGGTCTTATCACTGTGAGGGTGAACAGTTTCTGAACAATATGCTGTTAATTTCAGAGTTTAGTTAGTCTGAAGCGGCCCAGCTGAAAAAGATAAAATTACTGAACAGAAAATTAGTTCCGTTTTACCTCAAACCAGGACAGATTTCCATAAAATGCCACGTTCCACAGGGAGAACTTTCTACTTCTGCTATTCCTCAGATTGTGTTATGGGAGTCAAAAAACCCCCCTATCCACTATAAAGCCCTTGTTTTCTGAGATGAATGCTTGATTGCTTCCGTTGTGAAGCCCACAAACACCAGAGCTTCTGGCAGCACAATACTATGGTTTGGAGAAGAGTAGGACTTTTGTTCTGTAGTGATAAATATTGTCTTTAAGAAGGTGCTTGGTGCTAGGTACCGAGAATGAGTTTATTCTTCAGTACTAGTTGGTTATTCAGTATCTCTAAAAAGTATTCTTCATTTTGAATAATGTGTCCATTTTGTCTGATAGGTTTTGGAATGATCAGTTGAATATTCTGGATTTTCCAAGGTGCCGTTTCACTTCCCTTGCACTGCTATGTTATTTCAAGCATTGGTGACAAGCATGTAGTTGTCAATTTCTTCAAGTTAAGATGCAGTACCAGACAAGTCTGGACATAACATTAAGGTTCATTTTCTCTTTTTCTTTCATTTCTTCCTCCTTTCAAAAGATTTGTGGACTTTTCAAGGGTTCCTGCTGAATTTATGTCAGTTTAATCTACATTGAGGCAGAAAAATAGCTTCAGGAGAGGAATAGATGGGGTTTTTTTATCCCCATCTTGCAGTGCTGCTTAAGTAACTAGAAAATAAACACTAGTTTGTTTAAAAAAAAATATTAAAAGAAGAGTTGAGGCAGGGCATCTAAAAGTGAATTGTTAGTATGTTCTCAGTAACTTTCTGATGATGCTATTTTTTTTCTTAGTCTGTAGACTCCAGTCTTGGAGGACTTTCCAGGTCTAGTACTGTGGCTAGTCTAGATACAGACTCCACAAAAAGTTCAGGTATGTATCCAGAGAGTTCAAGCAGGTATGTACGGAGCAGGATTAACTTCATGTCTGTTTGTATAAAAGAGCAGAAAATAGAAAAGGTTAAAATATGTATTTTAATAATTGTAGGCGAATTTGTTAGATAGCCTGGTGACTAGTGCATGCATAGCTCTAGGCCTCTAAATTATTATTAACGATTCATCTAGGATTAAGTCACAGTTTTCAAAGTAAGGTGTCTAATTAAGAAAAACTGAGTTGTGTTACCAGTCTGTTACGCAGCATAAATCTTGTATAACTTCTTGGAAGCTGTATTTCCTGCTTTTTAAAGCTTACATTTGCACTGAAATAACAGAAATAAGATTTGATTTTACTTGTTCTTGCTCCGCAGATCAAATCCCATTACTGTTGGACCAAGCAGTTCATGTAAAAAAAAAATAAAATATGTATATATATAAATAGAACCAGCTTTTCTATGTTTTCTGGTTTAAGGTTGTTAACTCCAAATTTGAATTAGTATAAACAATGCTGTATCGTGGATTCATGTGAAACTCTTTACTTTATCAAGAGCTGTTCTGAATCAACCCAGGACAGCTCATTAAAGAGAGAAGTTAATGTATTGTGGTAAGGTTAAGTGTTTGATGAAAGTCTGCAAAAATGATGGAATTTAATAAGTTAGCTCCATTAACACCAATTAGAATAGCATTACTGTTCTGGAATTGTTCAGAATTGCTTTGTTTTATTCTGTTGCAGGACAAAGCAATAGTAATTCTGATACGTGTGCAGAATTCAGAGTTAAATACGTTGGTGCCATTGAAAAATTGAAGTGTAACGAGAGCAAAAATCTGGAAGGGCCATTGGACTTGATAAATTACATAGACGTTGCACAGGTAAGTGGGTGACAAAGGACACCACCAACAGTGTCAGAGTGTCTTCAGCTTGGTGTGTTTCTCTCGTATTAGCACACGATACGACATCTTTCTTTGTAAATTTTAGACTTGCTAGAATAAAGTAGTTTACTTTAAAAAATACAAAGTTATGAATCTCAAAAGCTGTCACACTTAATTGCATCCTGTTAAGTAACTGGAGAAGATGCACCCAAAACACTGTACTGAAGATGCAGGCTCAGAGCCAAGGTCTTTTTCCTGAGCCATTACTGACCAAGTATCCCAACTGAAAGTCATTGTATTGTCTTCAGCTCTGTTAGGGTTAGTATCTGTGAAGGAATATCTCCTCCAGATTTCCTCAGTAGTGGAGAAGTTTTCCTGTAGAGGAAAATGTCAAGTTTCTGCTTACAGTCACTTATGAACCTGAGACTGAAAAACCTGAATAATATTTGGGTCATCCTTGCCAAACTGTGGTGGCTTGTACTTCTTGTTGTACTAAAAGCTGTAACTGGTTGTTCTCATTAGGTAGCTGATTGTTTGTATCTCTAAAAGTGCAGAATGTCTGTTTATCTTAGAGCAACTTGACATTTCAAGTATTTGAATATATGTTGAAACTGTTTTTAGAGCCAAATAGCAAAATTGGTACCGGTGTGGAACATAGATGATCCAGAGCCAGCGCAGCATGACAGGGCATGTGTTATTTTTCAGCCCATCTGATCTGACCACTTCCCCCTGAGATGATAAATTCCTTTCTGGGATCATGTAGCGAATAGAATAGAATGGAATAGAAAATAAATATTTCAGTTGGAAGGGACCTGCAATGGTAATCTAGCCCAAGTGCCTGACCACTGCAGGCCTGACCCAAGTTAAAGTGTGTTATTAAGGGCATTGTCCAAATGCCTCTCAAATGCTGACAGGCTTGGGGCATTGACCACCTCTCTGGGAAGCCTGTTCCAGTGTTTGGCCACCCTCTGAGTAAGGGGATGCTTCCTAATGTCCAGTCTAAACCTCCCCTGAACACGTTCCACATAAAGTTAAGGGATTTGATGAGTGCAAGAGTGGGTTATGAGCAGGGTTAGTGCTGTTGCTGATCCAGTGGACTGAAGTACACATAAACACGTTTTCTAGTATGTATCTCCATTGCTCATGTTCTTCTGTTTGTTTGTTTGTTTCCCTCCAAAGCAAGATGGAAAGTTACCTTTTGTTCCAGGTGAAGAGGAGTTTATTATGGGAGTTTCCAAATACGGCATTAAAGTTTCAACATCTGATCAGTATGTAAGTGAATCACAAATAACTCCCTTTTTTTGGTGAGAGTTGAAAAGTGCTTTCATTTATTTCTCTGATAGATGATCTGTGTGACCAAGACGTCACTTCTGGCTTTAAGCAAAAGTAAAACAACAAACAAAAAAGCTCTCTGGTTGGATTTATGAGGGAAATCCATAACTTTTGAGACAGAGCACCAGGCAAAAGGCAAGCAAGCCTTTATGCTCTTTGGGCACGTCTTCCTTTCCCTGTGCCATCCTCTGACATGGAAACGTAGCATGACTGTGGTGGCCAAGACCATCGATAGGTTCCTTAGCCCGAGTTAGGAGTGTGATTCCTGTTGATGTTATTGTGGGGAGGAAAAAGCAAAGGATGTGTTTTTCAAGAGTACCTGAGTAGTCTTCCTCTTTGAAGTTCCAGCCTTGCACTCCAAATCCAAGAGCGTGAGTTCTCTCCAGCATTAAAGCCTCATGATTTCACTTTATCGATCAGGCCTATTTTTTGTTTGCATCATTTCCTGCAAAGTTTATTTTCCTTTAGTGCACTTCAAATAATAACTTTTTTGCTAAAAATAAAAATCCGGTCTCTTCCCTGGGGCCCTCCAGTTGCCTTTGTGTAGCTTTGTATTGCAGCCATGTGGTTTCCTTCTGCTTGCCCTCAGAGCCCCAGATACCATAAATACTTGGTCTTACGAAGTCATGACCCACCAACAACCCCTCAATGCCTGTTCATAAAAGCTTCAAGTACGAGGAGGGTGAATAGCATTGCTCAGTAGCTGAATGCTCTGATGGGAGCCAAAAGTTTCCTTCCCTCCCTTCAGAAAATAAAACACTTATTTCAAATGCTCGGGAAGAAGTGTAGTAGTTGTTACTCAACTTTGAATTCTTTTCGGTGTCTGGTTTTCCTGTCCTCCTAAATTCTTAGGTCTCGTTAAGAACATAGGTTACACTATTATTTAAATTCCTTTGTACTTTGATAAAGTTTAAAATAGGTAATTTTAAGACACTTATCCATCATTCTTCTGGCTTCGAGCTGAAAGCACGCACAAGCTGATAAAGCTGCCTGTGGTTAAGCTGGCTGCACTGGCATTTTATTGCAATGCGTTCTGCTTCCCAAATTCTGGCTTTTTGCATCTTTGTTACTGTTGACATGTAATTTGTCCTTTAGTGTGCTACTCCACCTAACTCTTTCATAGAGTTCCAAGATGGAAAGGTTTCTCTGCATTCATACAAAGAATTCAGTCTTTATGACTTTGGGAGAATGGTGAGAGTTCTGTGATTTGTAGATACCTTTCCAGGTGAATAGGCAGCTAATTATTTCAGATGCCAAAAAAAAAATACTAAGAAAAAATGGCTGCACATCAAAATAAAAAACTTTTCCTCGTGTATTTCAGCCCGTGTTTGAGAAATTATTTAGTGACTGAAATATGTACAGATAGGTAGTTCACTGATGCATTTCCGTTGTTTGTGGATGCAGCCACTAGAAGCTGAAGGGGAGGTGTTTATAGAGTCACACTGAGGCTTTGGCCTTCTTCACGTTCTGTTTATTTGTACATTATATATATGTACACACAGGTGTGGCACAGTTTGTCCATCCGCCATCTCGTGTCTCAGCTGCAGAACCCCCTCGTAGCCGAATATGGGAAGGAGGGGAGGAAATGAATTTTCAGGGGGACTGTGCACTTTATTCCATCCTCCCTCTTCTAGTGATAATCCAGGTGCACGTTGGCACGGTAGCAAGTTCCAAGGAAGTGACTCTACAAAGTTACAAGTAATTTGGAGGCGAATCTTGGCATCTTTCACACAGAAACTGGAGGGCTGATCGTGAGGGATTGCTGAGGAGATGTCAGGGACGGAGATGTTTTTCAGCAAGTGGTCTCAGGAGCTGTGGCAGAGGGCTCTCCCGGGAGGGTTTCATAGCAGGCATCAAGCTCACTGCCCATCTTTACAGCTTCTGTATCCAAGCAGATGGTTCTTTAGACCCTTCAGCTACTGATAGAGGCAAGATGTTTGATGCCATGAACATAGGAAAAGAGCTGTTTTGAAGTCGTAAGACCCTAGAGGTGGCATGACTGGAATAAAGCAGATGTGTATTATGGGTTGGGTAGGATTGGTTGAGAAGAAAGGCTTTGTGGAGGTTAGGCCTGCAGACACCTTGTACTGGATGACATTGAGCCATCCCTTTTGGAATGGCCAGGGTCAGAACTGTTGGGACTGTGGTGAAACGCTGCAATTGCGGTGGAGAGTAGAAGCCCCCCCAGACTAATCTGTGCAAGAGGCAGGACCCACGCTGTGGTCAGGCCACAAGGGGCCTGGTTATAGCCACACGGGGTCCCCCCACCCTAAAGCAACTAGCCTTGGCCATACCCTCTTCTGGGAACAGCTCCTCCTGTTTACCCTTCCCAGAACTGGGACAGGGGAGTGTCTGGAAATAATACTGGAAAAGTAAAAAGTTGTTCTAAGTGACCCCTGTGCCAGAGGGAGGGAGCGTGC